GCCGAACACTCTTCTCCTCTCCTTCTTCTTCTTTCTCTTTTCTTTCTTCTGTCTTCTTCTCTACTTTAACCTAGAAACAACTAGGGTTTATTCACAAACATCAAAATGAGAAGATAGAAATAGATGAAACACATACAATTGAAAGAGCAACCAACTTGGGGATTGTTGGGAATAGGGACGTGGAGGTGAGCAAGACATTGGGATTTTCTTTTTCTAGGGGGCAAAGGATTTGCAAGGAAGGTGTTTAAAGAGTTGGAGGAGAGGGAGAGGAAGAAAGAGGAGTTGGTACATGACGAGGATGGTTTCAATATAAGGGAGGATCTGAGAACTGCTTCTAAAACCACTGAATAATTAAGTAAAGATTCAGATGGTGGTTGGTAGTGGTCGAAGATATTGCTTGTATGAAAGATAGTAATGTTATTTTAAAGTGGTGATAAGGTTGAAGTTGAAGGCTTTACGGTGTTAACTTTATCTTGGATTTGGGTGGAACTATGGAAGTTCTGTTCAATGGAAGTTGTGTCTGTTTAGGGGTGGGTTTATACTTTCTTTTTGTGGTTAATTTCGTATCAGGGTTTTTTTTTTTTTTGTTTGGTGTCTTGAGTGATGATGGCAGGGTTTAGGTTTGGTTTGAATATTAGGATTTGGTATGTTGTTTTATTGGGTGACTTCTTGTCACCTTCCTTATACTCTTCTTTTTTCTTTTAATAAAAAATTTTTATTTTACTACCCAAAAAATTAAAGAGAGCAGTAAGAGAGAAAGAGAATATAGTAGAGAAGAAAAGAAAAGAGTTCAATTTGAAGGAAAATTCAGAAGTATGAGGCATATGCCTCTATTCAATATGTAATCACAACAGAATATGGTACCAGAAAGGCATGATATCTAAAAAGTTTATAACCAATCAACTGATAGTTGGCATTCATCAAAATTCACTGGAGGGAGGGGCTGACCATAGGTACTACCATGTAATCAATTTAAAATACAAGGGAAATGACCAGAATATGGTTGTAAATACAGAATATATCATCATCATCATCATCATCTAAGCTTTGTCCCAACTATATCAGATCAGCTACAAGAATCTTGTTTCACCATTCTGTTCAGCATATATCTAATGAATAAAAAGTGCTTTTTCAATACTCCCCCTCAGCTTGCCTAGAACATGATACAGTAATCATGGCAACATCTACTAATTGTCAATCCATCTATAGATAAGGAAGACACTTCTCCTAATTGAACCCTCATATGAAGTGTCTATCAACCGCAATATGCTTGTCTGATCATGCTTTATTAGATTGTGAGTTATATTAATAACTACTTGATTATAGTAGAACAAAACAAGAAGCATGCTCCAAAAAAACTACCAACTCTTCTAGTAATGAATGCAACCACAAAGCCTTCAAGCCACCATGTGCAATGGCCCTATATTTAGCCTCTACATTGAAATGAGCAACCACTTATTGCTTTTTACTCTTCCAAGAGATGAAACTGCCCCTAGTGTTTTAAAAGCGCAAGGTGCAAAAAATGCAAGGGGAATTTTGTGCCCGAGGCACAACTTACAAGGCAAAGTGCACACCTTTTTGAAACAAGATGCAAAATGCAAAAAATATATATATCAAAAAATGCCAAAAATAAAAAACATTAAAATATTAAACATAATATTAATTAAAAATATAGACTTAAATTTTAAAATAAATGTTTAAAAAATTATTATCTCAAATTAAAATACATAAACATAACATGTAAAACATATTAAAAATGAAAACTTAAAAGTAAGATCAAACATAACATAAAACATATTCAAGCGTGTAAAGCTCCCAATTGCATTACTTCAAATAGTTAATGTGATGTTAAACATTTTTCATGCTTGATTCTACAAGCTGCCTTTGTACCCAGCCCCTCGAGGCAAGCCCAAACAGGTCCATGTTAGGGTCTTAAATTCTTAATCCCTACAAAAAATGATAATATAATTTTAATTGTCTTTTAAAAATAAATTTTATTAAGATGAATGAATAAACATCACTAGCAAATAGGGAGTTCTCAGAGCTTCAGTGAGCGAGCAAACTTTTCCACACCTGATATCTCCACAAGAAAAGTTTACTATTCCAAGATTTTGGCAATTTTCCACATCTAGTAATTCCAAAACATTGTCTATCATGATTAAGAAAAAAAAAGTATCTCCTATTCTCAAGGGATTGACAGCCCAATAAAATAAATATTGTAAACCATTAAGTGTATGGCAAATGCAACACATAAAGCCAAAACATACCCGTGGACAGATGGGTATAGTATAATAGATCATTTGCTTCAAGACCTTCTATTAAATCCCATAGTTGCTGTCCGTTCAAAACTTGTCCTTTAAAAGTTGGATACCCTGCAGAGTTCCCTACTTGTTCAGAAAATGTTTGTGCTTTACATTCAAATTAGAATTTGATGCAGCCATGAACTTATACAGATTGCAGATAAGCTCGCACCGTATATCAGGCCTCAAAGTTCTGAGGCTGTTGGAATGAAGTGATATAAAGCAGCTTGCCTGTGTGATTAGAGAACTGCACTGAATTAATGGGATCCACATCATAGCCCAGCAGTTGAAGAGGAAAGATAGCTGATTTGTTGCCAACGTATCCCTAAGAAAGAAAAGCCAACAGCAAATGCATTAACAAAATTGCATTATACCATCTACCATATAAAGCTTGGTTGTTCCATTTCTTTGTCCCATCCAGGGCAAAACAATGGATGAGATCTGAACTTGCAACTTACAATCCGCATTACTTCAAATTTTCTATATATTCATTATGACGTCAACTCTTATAGAATATGTCTAATAGATGGAGTATAAGCATATGTATGGAAATCAGTTATCGCTTATTTGCAATTAACAGAGGAACCCTTCATTTTACATTTCCAAATGGCTCAAGTGGCAATATCAGGAAATGTTATCCTTACCAACTTCCACACCCTTTGTAGAACATGACGGATCATTCAACATGCATGTTAAACCACTATGGATTATTAAGTGTAGTAGTTTAAAAGTTTAAGCAAAGTTACATGCTTAATTAAGCAAAAGAGGCTATATTGAAAGGTACAAGAATAAAGTTCTTATGTTTGTGATAAATCCTTCCCAACAAACAGAGAAAGTAATACTAATAATAGGGTAAAAACCTTTTTAACCAAAAAATGGTACAAAGATGAAAACAAATACCTGAACAGTGTGAGATTGGATACTGAGAACTCGACCCGTCTCGGATGGCAAAGCTAAAGAAAGGATTGGAGGCGCCATTGCAAGTCTATTCGAATTCCTTGCCTGATGATTATTTGGAACACCAAAGCTTAAGGCAATTAAAACAGAGAAAAATAATGGGGAAATTGAAGGGTGGAGCCGGAAATTACCTAAACTTGGAGAGATCTCGGGTTCCTCGGTTCTTCCTGTCCCGGTGCGAGTTGGGACTTGGGAGAGGCAGCAACGAATCAAGGAGAGTACAACCTCCAACGCTCGTTGTCAGTAAAATTACTAAATTGCCACTGATTCTTAGGGAAAAGGACCATGCAAATGGGTGGCAGTTACGTTATGCATTCTCGTTTCCACAATCCGCATGCTGCGCGTAGGGGTAATTTGGCAAATTACGTTGAACAGTTGTAGTGATTTCAGTGTTGTCAGAAATCAGAATCAGACCAGGCAGGAGTCCGGAACTACTCTCACAGGACGCGCCTCACACCGACCTCACAGATGAACATCTCCCGTCTCCTTATGGGAGATAGATCCCAAATTCAGGTGGGATGTGGCTGTAAGGTCGGTGAGGTCGATACGAGGCGTGGTTTGTAAGGAGCAGATCCAAATTAATATGGTTGAATTGGTGATTTGAGTGAATCTCAGGTATTTGACGTTTTCGGGATGGGGTGGTGAAATGAAGATCAAATCAGCCCCCCACAATGTTTCACAGCACATTCTCGTCGGGAATATCTTCACATCATCATTTCTAGTATCATCATCGAGAGATGTTCCCAATACATGGTGGGAATGTGTTGTGGGGGGCAATCTTGTGGCAAGCTGATTTGAACTCGATGAAATGATTGTGAGTGCCATACACGGTGGGATATGTTGTGAGGCGCTTGTGGGGCACACATGTGAATTCAATTGGTAAGTATTCAAATCGGGTAGATTTTTTTTGGTATATTCGATGATATGCACCATTAATAACTTGGGATAAGTAGATTGCAATCCACCTCAGAAATCTAAAATTACAGCCCCCTCCTAGTCTACTAGTAGCCCCCTTATAAACCACATCCTGCCCACAGATTTGGCATCAATCCACGACCAAGATTCATCCCACTTGTACAGTGGGGCTCATATTTTTGGGGTGGACTAAACTATAAAAACCCCTAATAACTTCCCCTTGACCACTTTTTCCCAAAGTGTTGGTTGTGGGATTTGATTCCGTGTTAATGTTGGAACAAACCAGATAACACACCAACAAGCCAGCCCTCAGTTGGTAAATTGGGTAGATGATGTCGAACAAGAATTTTTGGAAGGGATGCAAATAAATCGGATTAGATTCGAATCAGGGTATATCTGAATCCGATCTGACACTATTAAGAGCTGATCTGATCCTCATAAGTATGGATTCAAATTTGAATCCAATGAAGAAGTTAGATTTCCATATTTGATCTGGTCCGATTTAATTTTTTTTAAAATTAATAAATTATTAAAAAAGAAAATATAATAATTTAAAAAAGAAAAACAAAAAATACAAGTATCTTTTCAAATATTTTCAACATATATATACATGTTTTTATAAAAAAATAATTAATATAACAAATTTATAAAAATGCAATATAGATAATATATTTATAAATAAATAAAATAACATATATGTCTTACATATATTTATATAAATAATAACAAATATATATATAGAATCTTCTCGGATTGAATAGGGTGATCTGAATCCGGTCCAATTTCTGATTGGATCCTATTTTCTGATCAAATAAGGTGATCCAAATCCAATCCAATTTCTAATTGGATCCTATTTTCTGTTTAGATTCAAAGATCCAAACAAAGGGGGAGATCTGAATCCAACAAAATAGTATCGGATCTCAAATCAGATCAGATCAGAATCCAATCCATTTACACCCCTAACTTTAGGGAAGAACCCTTCAATGGCTAGATGGATGGATTTTGATTATAAAAATCATATCAAATTTAGTTTTTACATCATAAAAGCCTAGAATTTCATTGGCGCAAGTTTGCTTATCAAGTTGATTCCTTTTCGATGTGCTTGGTTTGAAGGAAAAGGGATTAGCAAAGAGGTTTTCCTTCATTTTCTTTCAAACCAAACACACCCTAAAGAAGCCCTTTGATGGAAACAAAATCATATGCAGCGGCCTAGCCAACCTATCATGAGTAAACTAGAGAATGACCCCAGTACTAAGTACGAGGTAACTAAATGTGTGTATAATTTAGTTTGAAGATTACTATTTAGTTATCAAAAATTAAATTTTTGTAACTGGCAATCTATTCTGACCTATTTTATTTGAAAACCATTATTAATTTATGTTTTTTTAATTTGATTTAAGATATTAAATGAGATCTTATTCGTAAACAATAACCCACTTTATTTGGTATTTACTATTTATCTAATAAATCTATTTTGAGTTATTTATTTTAAAAGTTAAAATAGGTTGCTTACTAAAAGTTAAGATAAGTTTAAAATTAATAAAGTTTTTTTTTGAAAAAAAAAATCATTTAAAAACAAACATGGGTTTATGATAATCTTTTAATGGATCCCACCATTTGTATTTAATAGACTAGGACAAATATGTGTTAAGCTAATAAATAATTGTCTATTGAGAATGTTTAGGAGTGAAACTACACACTCTTTGAATCATATTTCTTGAATTAATAGGATGCTACGTGAATGGAGGTAATGGATTGTGAGTTTTAGCAACTTCTCAAAAATGCATGTGTCTAGCTTTCCAAATAAATGAGAAGGCCACATATCTAAATGGTGGGAGGCTGAAGCCTGGTAATGAGTTGTGGGCAGTAGCAAGAATTTCTCAGAAATTGCCACATGTCTAACTTTCCAAAAAATGAGAAGGCCACTTGTCTGAATGGTGGTGGATTGTAGCCTAAAAACCTTCCTTTAATATATATATATGTATCATTTTTTCGTACATATAAAATATGGGTCTCACATGAATCCCATTTATACAACAAACCGGCGTGTTCACTCCTGATAGGCTGCCCATTGCCTAAACCGGTGTGTACAACATTATTTTTAGCCCATCTAAACTCCTTTGGATGCAACAACTAGGATTTTTTGCCAAGGCCGGACCAAATCATGAAATTGTAACATTCCGATCAAATACCACACAAATGAAATCGTTCTTTCCTTCCTTCCGGATGTCATGGTTTTGGTGGAAGGCCTACGATTAATCACTGGATCTTTTCATTGATCATATCTGAAGAGTCAAAGTCTACAACTTTTTTTTGGTAAATCACAAACCGCCACACTGTACTTGGGGGTAGTTTTTTTGGAGTTCGGATCTCCTACCCACACGGCCACACCTCATTGCAGCTGTACATTGAAAACATCTCCCCTATTTGCATGAGATAATCCCAATGTACAACTTAGTGTCATGTGGGTAAGTCATAAATGTGGATAGGAGATCTAAGTTCGGTCTTTTGCAACAAATATCTCCTAAGCTTTCAAATTCAAACACTTTGCCTTCATTGTTGACATTCAGTCAGTTACTTTCATGAAACATTTGATGTTCCAAAACCATTAACTGACCGTTTGATTCATTTTCTCTAAAATCTTAGCTCACATGTTTCTCCAAAACAAAGTTCAGGAGACTACGTGTTACCACCTCCCAAGTATAGGTCGCTATCTATAATTTACCCATTTTGATAATAGAATTAATGAACTCCATATTTTTAAGCCTAATTAAGTAAATACAAAAGTTCTTTGTTTTTTGTTTTCCTGGATTGTATGAAGATGAATTCAAGTTTCAAAATAACGATAAGTTTAGCATGAGGTGTCAGTTTCTGGGCAACTAGATGTTAACAAACAGAAGCAGTATGAATCACACTTCCTGTAGCATATGATCCCGGCCAAAAAGTAGCACATCATCCAAGAAACAAATTAACAAGGAGCAATTCATCTTTCAAAAAAACAAGGAGCAGTTCGGCTCCACGGTTTGTCATCTAGTTCGCTTCATTCCTTTGACCTAGTATATCAACCAAGACATTAATGCAAATAAGTCTGAGATTTATTAGCCAAAACATAAGATAACATTTTATTTTATTTTATTTATCAATAAATGCAGCTTTTCTGTAATGTTAATTGTTAAATAGAGAAAAAAAGGTACAATAAGAGAATATCAGTGAGAGATAAACTGAGCCCATAAAATCTGATTTCTCCCTACCCCTTGTTTAGCTAGAGTATCCGAGATGGCATTGTGTTCTATCAGATTAAACATCTTAGATTAAGAAGTGTGAACCGCACATGCAAAGTTTAACCCAAGATGTCTTACATTTCAAACCCCCATGGGCCACGGTTCTCAATCATAAAACAAGAGTGTGGCAATCAGAACATGGAAACATTTATTGGAACATTAATTAACTATATCTTAATTTGCAAGCTCGAAAAGAAAAGAAAATTGTTTTCATCCCATTCAATACATCATTTTCAGCTTCATCAGCTTGATCAATAATACCAACTTATCAGGTATTACTGTCTAAGAATGCAGTAAGTTTGTACATAAAACTTGGTTTCATTCCACATCCCCTGGAGATTCACACATCATCACAAGCAACTCATCAGGTATTACCGTCTAAGAATGCAGTAAGTTTGTACATAAAACTTGGCTTCATTCCACTGGACATTCATCACACATCATCATTGAAAGCTGGTTTAACAGAACAAAACAGTGTGCTCCTTCAGTGATCATTTTGAATAAGGAAGCGACTTCACTTTAAATTAAACAACTGTCAAACAACTTTTGTTTTCTAGCCAAGACTAAAAAGAAGATGCAAGCATCAAAATTCAACTTGTAAGAAGAGAGGTAAACATCTTCTGATTTGTCTACTTAGTGAAGCTCATAGAATAAACTAAATGTCTTACACCTCATAAAATACTTTTTCTTAATCAACCATCACTGTCTTGGAATGCAAGAGTCACATATATAAAACTTGTTCAAATCCATTGGACAATCATAAATATCATCTTCGTAGGCTGATTGGATACAACAAATCAATCCTTTGCCAACCCAACCTGAAATGACCTGAAAACGCCTTGACCCGACTCGAAACCAACCCAACCTGATTGCCAGGTCTAAACACACCCCAAAACTCTCAAGAGTACATGAAACATATTATCATCTTGGATATGTGAGCCAAAAGGAGTTTTGGATACCCAAACCTGAGACAATATCATCATCATCATCCATGCCTTATCCCAACCATATAGGGTCAGCTACATGAATCCTGTTTCGCTAATCCTTCTATTTAAAGCCATATCCACTGTTAACTTGTTAATACTTGAATCATTTCTTACTACCTCTACCTGTCTTTTTTGGTCTACCCTGAAATCTTCTAACACCTTCAATGTGTAACAAATCACTTCTAACTGATGCAGTTGATGTTCTATGCACGTGCCCAAACCATCTTAGTCTATTCTCTTTCCTTTAATCACCTATTGGAGCTACTCCTAGGTTCCTATGGACATCTTCATTCCTAATCCTATCCTTTCTAGTTCTCCCACTTATCCATCTTAGCATTTGCAATTCTACTACATTCTCAACATGTTTCTTGACTA